AGAACAATCTGAAAAAAGAAAATTTAAAAAGTAATTGCATTTACAGTAGCCACACATAAAATTAAATACGTAGAAATTAACCAAAGAAATAAAAGATCTCTAGAATGAAAGCTATACAAAACTGGAGAAAGAAATTGAAGAAGACACAAAAAATGGAAAGCTATTCCATGTTCAAGCATTGGAAGAATCAGTATTGTTAAAATGTCCATAGTATTCAAAGCAATCTACAGATTCAATGCAATCCCCATCAAACTACTAATGATATTCCTCACAGAAATAGAAAACACAATCCTTATTTATATGAAAACACAAAAGACCTAGAATAGCTAAAGCTACCCTGAGCAAGAACAACAAAACTGAAGGAATCACAATACCTGACTTCAAATTATACTACAGAAGTATAGTAACCAAAACATCACGGTACTGCCATAAAAACAGACACACAGACCAGTGGAACAGAATGGAGAACCCAGAAAGAAATCCATACATCTACAGTAAACTCATTTTTTACAGCAGTCCCAAAAACATACACTGGGGAAAGGGCAATCTCTTCAATAAATGGTGCTGGGAAAACTGGATATCCATATGTAGAAGAATGAATCTACACCCCTATCTCTTGCCATATGCAAAAATCAAATCCAAATGGATTAAAGACTTAAATCTAAGACCTCACACTCTGAAATTACTGCAAGAAAACTTTGGGGAAACTCTCCAGGACTTTTGGATTGGGCAAAGATTTCTTGAGTAAATACCTGGGAAGCACAGGCAACCAAAGCAAAAATGAAACAAATGGGATCACATCAAGTACAAAAGCTTCTGCACAGCAAAGGAAACAATCAGCAAAGTGAAGAGACAACAGAAAGAATGGGCGAAAATATTTGCAAACTACCAATCTGACAAGGAATTAATAACCAGAATATACAAGGAGCTCAAACAACTCTGTAGGAAAAAACATCTAAAAATCTACTTTAAAAATGGGCAAAAGATCTGAATAGACATTTCTCAAAAGAAAACATACAAGTGGCAAACAGGTACATGAAAAGGTGCTCAACATCAATGATCATCAGAGAAATGCAAATCAAAACTACAGTGAAATAGCATCTCACTCCAATTAAAATGGCTATTGTTCAAAAGACAGGCAATAACAAATGGCTGTTATCCAAAAGACAGGAAAAGATGTGGAGAAAAGGGAACTCTCGTACACTTTTGGTGAAAATGTAAATTAGTACAACCACTATGTAGAAGAATTTGGAGGTTCCTCAAAAAACTAAAAGTAGAGTTACCAAATGATCCAGCAATTCTACTCTTAGATATATACCCCAAAGAAAGGAAATAAATGTTTAGAAGAGGTATCTGCGCTCCCGTGTTTATTGCAGCACTTCTCACAATAGCCTAGATTTGGAAGCAACCTAAGTGTCCATCAACAGGTGAATGGATAAAGAAAATGTGGTACACTGACACAACGCAGTGCTATTCAGCCATAAAAAAGAATGAGATCCTGTCATAAAAAAAGAATGAGATCCTATCCATAACATGGATGGAACTGGAGGTCATTACATTAATTGAAATAAGCCAGGTACAGAAAGACAAACTTTGCATGTTCTTACTTATTTCTGGGAGGCAAAAATTAAGAGTTGAACTCATGGAGATCAAGAATAGAATGATGGTTATCAGAGGCTGGGAAGGATAGTGAGGGGGTGGAGGGGAAGTGAGGATGGTTAATGTGCACAAACAAAATAGAATGGATAAGATGTAGTGTTTGATAACACAGAAGGGTGACTATAGTCAACAAAATTTTACTGTACATTTAAAAATAACTGAGAGAGTATTACTGAATTGTTTGTAACACAAAGGATCAATGCTTCAGGTGATGGATACTCCATTTACCCTGATGTGATTATTACACATTGTATGCCTGTATCAAAATATCCCATCTACCCCATAAATATACACATCTGCTATGTACCCGCATAAATTAAAAACTTTGAGAACCCTGAGTGTTTCCTTTCCAATATAACTAAGCATTCTACATGCAACTTTGAATGAAAATTTCTTTATATGCCCCAAATTTGAAAATATGTAAGCCAATCAAAGAACGTGTATTTATTATTGGAGACTCAATAATTAATGATGACAAGCTGTTAAGCTAGAGAAGTGGTTCTCAAGCAGGCATGATTTTGCTCCCTAGGGAGCACTGTCAACTCTGGAGACATTTTTGGATGTCATGCTATGGGGAGGAGGGAGGAGATGCTGTTGGCATCTTGTAGATACAGGTCAAGGATTTCTTGTAATACACAGGACAGCCTCAATGTCAACAGTGCTAAGGTTGGGAAATGCTGGGCAAGAAGAATTGAAAGCCTTGGGCCAGGGTCTTCCAAAAAAAGACTAGGCACACCTGTCCAGCAAGAGCTGGACCCACTGAGCTGTCCTCTATGGCAGACAGAGAGGAAGAAATATCCTCCCCCTCCACCTTCTGTCTTTTTGGCTGTGAACTAAATGACCATAACAAGGAAAAATAAGGTATTTTCCTATCACTGTATGGAAGTTTCCATTTAGCCTACTACATAGATTAGAAAAAGGTATTCCCCTGACTTGACAGAGCCCCGTTTGTACATGGCTTACCCTCTCTACTGGTCACCTTTGTGCAGTGCACTAACTATACAGCCTTGCATGGCGGTCCTCAATAGAAGCACTAGTCCCACTAATACTACAAAACTTCATACAGCTTTTAATATGTGGTAACCATGAGATAACTCATAATAAGAGTAATTAAAAGGAGAATAAGACAGATTGAAAAGAAGATCAGAGAAGAGGCATCTAAAAGTGAGATGGGGGTTTGTGGCAGTTATCTTAGAATGATAAGTTGCCAAATGTAGGCTCTCTGTCAGGAACCCAATACAAACACTGAAACAAAGAAAGACACAAGAAAAGATTAAAAGGGCAGATATCTTTAAAAGCTTGGGAAAAATAGCTATAACTGGGGAGGGGCAAGAGAGAGTAAAGAAAGGGAATGATTACCTTGAGCTCCTATGTGGAAAAAGTCAGTTGGGGATTACTTTTAAAATTCGAATTAAACTGGCTTGGCAGTTTAACGAGGCGCTGTCACCTACACCCTTTGAAAGCTATAGACCAAATATCTTAGTTAAAGCTTATAAAGATTTACCTTAATGATGGTTAATTAGTAAAAAAAGTGGTTATCAAATAAGAAATAAGAGGAAACAAGCTCAAGAGTCATAAGAAAATTTAAATAAACTGTAGCTAAGAACTTGTGCCACAGAAAGTTTCTAAATATCAAAAATAATCTTAGATTTAAACTTTAGTTGCATAAAATGTTATAGAATATACTTGATTCTCTGGAAAGATATTTAAAAATATGTATCTGCTTGAGGTAGTTCTGAATAAAGACAGGAAGAAAAGGAGCTAAGCTAAAAAGAAAATTTTGGAGTATTTAAAAGTAGGATGTATACTATCTCTATGAGATGATTTTGTGAAGAAAATAGAATATCCAAGATTTTAACTCTTCTGCCAATGACCTGTTTACAGAATTAGAGGAGATGGCACTGACTGTAGTGACAGAAGCGGTGCCAGTTCTCCCCACCATCAAGAGTATCTTCTGCTATGCCTGACACAAGGTGTGAAATTTCATTTTTAAAGATTTACTGCTTTGATTTGTCACTGTTATGGTTAAAATGCTGTAGTGATCTCTGAGAGTTAAAGGACATAACTTGTGAAAAGTCATTAATTTTCTGGTACTAATTTAATTTGATAATTATCAGGAGGGGCTTAAAGGGGGCCAAAATTACCTTTTGGAAGTGTTTAATTGATATTACAATAGTCTGCTCAAAGTCTGTGAGAGTATGAATGCCTATTTGTAAATCTGTCATACACACATATATCAGAAATGACAATTATACAGTATACACAAATGTGTTTGTGAGTATGTTTGCGCACAACTATGCATTAACCAAATACCTACACACCTGGTGTGGTATTGTATTTGATCCACTGTAAAAGTTCTTCCTGAGGCAAATTATTAAATTCTCCTATTATGTTCCATTGATTATGGAGGTTTGCATAACCTTGTATTGACATCACTGTTAGAATGCCAAAGATAACATTCTCAAAACGAACTCTGCGAAAAAGCCAGCCAAAGAGCTGAAACGACAGAAATCATTTATTTATAGTTCTTATATGAAGCGTACTGTAGGGTCAACAATAAATTCTCACCTTGTTACTCAAACCAATGTGAATTACCCTTTGATATCAGCACATACGTATACAGAATTACCATCTCCGGTTGTTTCCAAAGCAACGAATATGTTGGCATTACAGGGCCCAGGTGAAAATGGAACTTTCTCTCCCCTGGAAAGAATTAAGGAAGGAATGCCTAATCCTTCTAGTACTAATTTACTACAAAGGATTAAAATAAACAAATCACAACTGTGAAACATCTTAGAACTAAATCCTTTCATCCTTGGCTGCCGTTTGTGTACATCGTTAGTAGACAGGGAAGCCCTATTAGCTTGACATATATAGATTCTTCTCAGGAAAACAGGCATTATGGTATTTTAAGGCTATAAACTCAAACTAAGTTGTCTGTAGAAGTACCTTAGGCCCAATATTCTAATTTATCTAGTTCTTTTGTATGTTAGATACAGTGATAGAACCCCAGAATTTCTTACAGATTCTTCGAGCCAAACAGGACCGTAGTAGAGCAATTACTCTGCATCCACTCTGGTATTGGATGAGTACTTCAGGGTACTTGTGGTGAACCAGGAAACTCTTTTTTTTTTTTTTTTTTTTTGAGACAGTCTCACTCGTCTCCCAGACTGAAATGCAGTGGTACAACCTCAGCTCACTTCAACCTCCACTTCTCAGGTTCAAACAATATTCCTGCCTCAGCCTCCTGAGTAGCTGGGATTACAGGTACACACCACCATGCCCAGCTAATTTTTGTATTTTAGTAGAGACAGGGTTTCACCATGTTGGCCAGGCTGGTCTTGAACTCCTGACCTCAAGTGATCTGCCCACCTCAGCCTTCCAAAGTGCTGGGATTTCAGCTGTCAGCCACTGTGCCCGGCCACCAGGAAACACTTTTTTTTTTTGAGACAGAGTCTCACTCTGTCACCCAGGTTAGAGTGTTGTGGCGCGATCTTGGCTGACTGTAGCCTCTGCCTCCCAGGTTCAAGTGATTCTCCTGCCTCAGCCTCCCAAGTAGCTAGAATTACAGGCACTCGCCACCATGCCCGGCTAATTTTTTAATTTTAGTAGAGATGAGGTTTCACCATGTTGGCCAGGATGGTCTCGAACTCCTGGCCTCAAGTGATCCACCCATCTCGGCCTCCCAAACTGCTGGGATTACAGGTGTGAGTCACTGCGCCAGGCACTCTTACACAAACCCGAAATCCAAAAGGTTATGTTCATGGACAGGATATTAACAGAGGGGAAATGTTTGCCTAATCACTTGTTATAGAAATACCAATTAAAATCTAGAAATACTTTTCAAAGCCACTTGAAATTGTTTTTCTTGCTTATAGTGAATCATGAAGTAATATTTTAAATCCTTTAAGTTAGTTAAGTTAAAAACACTTAGTGTGTTTATATTTTGAATTAGCAAAGCCGCAGTAACTACTAAGTGTAGCTGCTATAGTTTTAACAGTATTGTTACACAAGAATGAATTCCTTACCTGTCGAGAGCATATCAAGGAAGCCATAACACACATGTGCGGCGTCAAAAACAGCTTTAGCCTCATAATTAAAATGGCAAGGGCAGTAAACGCTAACAACTGCAATGTGTGAAAAGCCAGCTACAGAAACACAAATAAGGCGCAATGACATTTTTATGTTTCATATTTTTAAATTAATGAAGTATATTAAAACTATATTATTCACTAAGACAAGGATCTTCTAACTTAGTAATGAGCCTATTAGTATTCATTCATTCAGCAACAATTTATCGAATGCCTACTATGTTCCAGGTCCTCTTCTGGGTGCTTCAGATACAACAGTGAGCAATTTCTGCCCTTGTATTGTATTTAAGTACATTTAGTAACGAAAGACAGACAATACATAGACATAGCAAATAAATAAATCCATTACATAGTCTACTGTAAGGCAATAAGCGCAGCCGGCAAGAAAATGGAGCAGGCAGAAGAGCCAGGGAGAGCAGGAGGTGGTGTGAGGAGGCGGAGGACCAACACAGTGGGCCTCACTGTAAAGTGACAAAGTTACTAATGCGTTCCTGATCCAAAAATCTGAAATCTACAATGCTCTGAAATCTGAAACTTTTGAGTACCAATGTGATGTTCAAAGGTTATGCTAAAACAAATGCTCATTGAAGCATTTTGGATTTTGGATTTTCAGATTAGGGATCTCAACTAGTAACTACAGTGTAAATATTCCAAAATTCAATAAAATCTGAAGTCTGAAATGCCTCTAGTCCTAAGCACTTTGGATAAAGGATACTCAACATGTGTCATAAACTATCCCTATTAAGTTCAAATTCAGTTACCCACTCCTGTCAATTTGACCTTTACCTCAACACCCACTTAAAGTTCTATCAAATAGGAAATATTTCCAGCCCACACTGATCTTTTCCTTTTTATGCCACAAAATAATTTTACACCATATAAAATGTTGTCGTATTTGTCTCCTTTGTAAAATTACACATATTGAAGGGCAGCAACATTACTTTAGTATCTTTTGTATCCTTCAACATTTCTGAGCTTGTTGCTGACTGACCAGCAAATCTACGTGGTGGCAGATGGCCACCAGTCACAGGGCGAGGGGTGCCTGCCCTAATGGACTGTAGCTGATTAGCTCTGCAGGCTAGAAACCAAATGCTTGTTATTGTAAAATGAATGCAATTTAATTTAATTCTGTACTATAGTCACAAATCAGCCTTCTAGCTTTTAAATCCTTATTACTATTCAAAAGTAAGAGCAGATGAAAGAGTGAGGAGGATCAGCAGAAATGTATCACCAATGCTGACAACTCACAACTGATGGTGCGTCAGAAGCAGGTTATACCTTTGTCAATTATCCTCAAACTAGAATGTAATACACAAGTCTACTAGAGATTAAAATGAAAGCTTTACCTCACCGTGTTCAAGAAGCTGTTTTCTAGAATAAAACAAAAATATTATCTATTTACTGAATGTCTCTTATACTATGAATACATAAAAATAAGCTTCATTTGTTTGATCTTTGATTTTAAAAATCTGACTATCTTCTAAACTACTTAGGAACATACATAAAAATAAAAATATCAGATAATACTACAAAAATTACAACAATTTAAAAGTCATAATTTAGTTATTTGGTTAAGACAAAATAGATTTTACAGATCCCTGGAGATTGTACCTCTCATGAATAAATGAATAGCATGACCTTCTATTCAACCTATATATACAGTGTATACAATACTTTAGATGACCACTGTTAAACTTTTGAGTTGTTTTCATTTTTCACAATTACAAATAGCATGGACACTCATGCATAAAACTTTATAAGCATCTCTGAATATTTCCTTAGCATACATTTCCAGAAGAAAAATTATTGGGTAAAGCATAAATATTTTTAGTTTCAGAAAAGTTATCCCTTTACAAAATATTTATAGTGCACCTACTGTATTCTAGGCACTGTGCAATGAAATGAATACCACAGTCCCTGCTTATCCTCCGATCCTCACATTCCAGTTTCAGTTACCTGTGGTCAACTGCAGTCCAAAAATATTAAATGAAAAGTTCCAGGAAGTAAACAATTCCTAAGTTTTAAATTGTGCACCATACTGAATAGTGAAATCTCAAGTCACCCTGCTTCATCCTACCTGGGATGTGACTCACCCCTTTGTCCAGCATATCCATGCTGTATACGTCACCGGCCTGTTAGTCACGTACTTACCATTTCAGTTATCAGATGCACTCTGGTGGTATCTCAGTGCTTGTTTTCAAGTAACCCTTTTCTGACTTAATAATGGCCCCAAAGTGCAAGAGCAGTGATGCTGGCAGTTGAGATATGCCAAAGAGAAGCTGTAAAGTGCTTTCTTTAAGTAAAAAAGGTGAAAGTTCTCAAAAGAAAAAGCATCATATGCTGAGGTTGCTAAGATCTACAGTAAGAACAAATCTATCCATGAAATTGTGAAGAAGGAAAAATTAATGCTGGTTTTGCTGTTGCACCTAAAACTGCAAAAGTTATGGCCACAGTCCATGATAAGTACTTAGTTAAGATGGGAAAGGCATGAAATCTGTGGGTGGAAGACGTGAACAGAAATCTGTTCCGATGATGGTAATCAGGTGTGTTACTCTCTGCATTCTCAAGACTGGGGGTCTTGGGATGCATCGCCCTGCAGATAAGGGCAACTGCTGTGCAGCATGAACAGTATGGACGCAACACTTACCTTCATGGAGTTTATATTAGAGTAAGACAAGAGGTAGGAGACTGCCTATTTTATTCTTCTCTTGAAAAGACTGGGTATTTTACTTTTATGCAAGGCTTTATAGCCTGCAGCTGCATTCTAATATGGATTTTGGGGGTGAAGAGAGAAATAAGTATGGAAAGTAAGTTCAGGGGTACGAGACCCATAGGTTTTTTAAAAGAGAAGTCAGGGGAAGGTCTCTTAAGGTAGTAGTGGAGCCCAAATTATTCTATCTCCCTTGTAGCTCTTACCCTTTGTATGCAGTAGGTTTTTTTTTTTTTAATAGAAGACAGGGAAGGTCTCTTAAGGTAATAGTGGAGACCAAATTATTCTATTTCCCTTGTAGCTCCTTCCCTGTGTATGCAGTTAATGGAGTGGGGTTTCCCCACTTGTCCCGGAATCTAGGCACAACAGATTTCTTCTAGGCAAAACTCAGCCTGGTAGGTGAGTAATTATTATAATCACCAAGAACCCTGAAAGTAACTACTGATACTTTATTTAAATCAAGTAGGTAATTAAAAATGTGAATATACAATCAAATCCCAAGACACAAATAGCATGAAAAGGAAACACCAAAATAAATGAGTAAAAAACTTGACCTCTCATGAAACAGCTAATGCAAATGAAAACTCCAGTTATTATTTTCACAGAAGTTTAAGAGGATAATGCATCCATATAATTAAAATAAGCTCCAGTGAAAAGGAGTTTTCAGAAATTCTAAGAAAAATATATTTGCCTAATTTAAAGCCTCAAAAGAAGGTTGAAGAGCAACATGTACACAGCTGAAGTTGACAGTATTAAAGACTCAGTGATGACATTCTCTGAGAACACAGAAAGAAAAGAAATAGATAGTATGATAAAAGCAGTAACAGAAATTCAAAAAAGAGAGGCTAAAGTGAAAGAATAAGAGAACAACAATGCACACACATCACCCCTCCAAACGTTATAGATTTTCAGAGAGAAAAACTATATAGGAATTTTCATCCGTAATGCTCAATGCTAGAACACAAAGAAGCAATGTCAACAAAATGTTGAATGAAACCCACAAATATCTATTAACTAATCTATCCATCAGATATGAGGGCAAAATAAAGCCATTTTTCAGGTGAGAAAGCACCCAGAAAGCATGCCAATTCTACATGTCAAGGAAAAATAAATCAGTAAAATTTGAAGTCAAGTCCAAAGATTGCTGGTGTCTTTAATGTAAATGCTTAGAGACTTCTTAGCAGCTAAGACAACAATCTAGAAGCAAATTTCAGCATAACCTGGAAGGAAAGGGTGTGTAGGCAGGGACAAGTAAAAATATTCTGACAGGTCAGTGCTGAAGCAAGCAGGTCTCTAAGTACAGAGCCTGAGTATGAATTCTGCCTCTATTACTCACTAGCTGTGTGCCTTTTGGAAAATTACTTACCTTCTTACCGGTTTCCTCATCTGTAAATAATGGGAATAACTGACTCCCTTCTCACAAGGTGGTTGTGAGGATTTATTGAGTTAATACTGGTAAGAAGCTTAAAATAGTATCAGACACACAGGAAATAATAACTGTTAGCTACTATTGTTGGTGGTAACAGGTTTTAGATGCTGATGAATTCTTAATATCAAGATGAATATATTTGCTAATAATTTAAGAAAAATCACCAGGAAATATAGAAATGGGATATAGCTAACAATTCAGTAAGTATCAAGAAAATAATTTTTGAAAAGCACGATGAATAGAAAACACAAAATCAGATGGCAGGAAGAAGTACAAACACAGCAGTTATCACAGTTAATATGAAAATGGGTTAAATTCACCAATTAGAAAATGAGTATTAGAGAAATTTGAATAGAAAAAATCTAACAATGAGAAATATACCTACACCAAAATGTCATAAAAATGTTAAAAAAAGCATAAATACGGGTAAACCAGGCAAATCTATAAAAAAGAAAGCAGATGTGGCAATATTAATTTTCTACAAAGAAAAATTTACAGCAAAAACCACCAAGTAAAGCAAAGAATACCCTTTCTAATAATCAAAAGTACAATCCTATAATAATCATGCAATGAACAACAGCACTATCTATATAAAGCAAACACTATTAAAATTACAAGACAATTTTGAAAAATTCATTTTTAATGTTGTATGTGAAGATAGCATTCTAAGAAAACAGATAAAGTAGAAAAATAAGTTGGTGTACTAGACCATTTAGAATAGCACATTAACAACACAATATAACATGCAACTTTGAATTTCCCCCAAATTAGAAATGAACATTTAAAACATCCTCCTAGAGCATTTACTAAAACTGAACATCCATCTCAATAAATAGCAAGTTAATTTTAAAGGCAAAATACACAACAGAAGAAACTAGTTAGACATTTTTTTAAATTATTATTATTTTGGAGACGGCGTCTCGCTCCATTGCCAGGCTGGAGCGCAGTGGCGATCTTGGCTCACTGCAACCTCCGACTGCTGGGTTCCAGTGATTCTCCTGCCTCAGCCTCTCAAGTAGCTGGGACTACAGGTGCATGCACTACACCCGGCTAATTTTTGTATTTTTAGTAGAGACGACATTTCACTGTGTTGGCCAGGATGGTCTCAATCTCCTGACCTCGTGATCTGCCCACCTTGGCCTCCCAAAGTGCTGGGATTACAGGCATGAGCCACTGCACCTGGCCTAAAACTAGTTAGACATTTTAAGACATTCTTCTAGTTGATTTTGGATTAAACGACCAAAACTCAAATCACAGACTACACAGAAATCAACATTAATGGTAATGCTACACACATCATGGGATACAGTGTGAATTTTCTTCAGAGAAAAAGTTATAACTTTAAATGTATTTACTAGGACACAATCATGATTGATAATAAATGATGTGAACTTTAAACACAGAAAAACAACAAAAGTGCGCCAAAAGAAAAACTAAGGACATAAAAATATAAGCAGAGATTAATAAAATGGAGAACAACCTTCATAAATATAATAAATAAAACCAAAAGCTGGTTTTATGAAAAATCCAAAACAGAATTACCTTGTTATGGACTACTGCAGCTGGCGACTTTCAGCTGAAGCCAATGTTCATTTACCACTTTGAAAACCCTGAGGCCTTTTTTCAGAATTATGCTAAATCTACTCTGCCTCTACTCTACAAATGGAACAAGCCCGGATGACAGCACATCTGTCATAGCATGATTTACTGAATATTTTAAACCCACTCTTGAGACCCACTTCCCAGAAAAAAAGATTCCTTTCAAAGTATAATTGCTCATTGACAATGCAGCTGGTCACCCAAGAGTTCTGATAGAGATGGACAAGGAGATTAAGGTTGCAGGAAAGCAGTCTGGATCAACGAGTCATTTCAACTTTCAAGTCTTATTATTTAAGAAATATATTTCATAAGGCTATAGCTGTCATAGATAGTGATTCCTCTGATGGATTTGGGTAAATTTTAAACCTCTGGAAAGGATTCACCATTCTGGATGCCATTAAGAATATTTGTGATTCATGGATGGAGGTCAAAATACTAACATCAATAAGAGATGGGAAGTAATTGATTCCAACTTATTTGCTACTTTATATGTTATTTTCTTAGAATGCTTTCTTCTCATATAACATTAAAAATGATTCCAACCCTCATGGGTGACTCTGAGGGGTCCAAGACTTCAGCAGAGGAAGTCACTGCAGATGTGGTGGAAACAACAAGAGAACTAGAATTAAAAGTGGAGCCTGAAGACATGACTGAAT